TGTGCTGCTCTGCTCCCCACACAGGCCACGGGTCAGCGTGATCAGCGCTTTCCCCTGTGTGCTGGTGGCCGCTCCCGCTGGGTCAGGAGCAGCGTGCGCCTTTGTCTGCACGCTTGTTCTTGTTCTGTTTGTTCTCTGCCCGACCCGGTCCCCTTCATCCGTCCTCCGGAGAGCTCCTGTGACAGCAGGGCGGCCACACTGCCAGAAGGCCCAAGGGACACAGCCAGCCCAGGCACCACCGCACTCCCAGGCTGCGGGCAGGTGAAGCCGTCTGTCCAGTTCCCCACTGGCCAGGAGCGGGTGTCAGGCCAGCTCTGCAGAGGCAGACGCTGCAGGCTCAGCGGGGCTAAGATGTGGGCAGAGCCCACGTAACCCAGCTGCCCTCCTGCTCTGAGGCATTCTGCCCCTGAAGGGTGGCACGGGGCGGGGCTCACAGAGACAGCACTGAGCCCACGTCACACGCTGCGCGTCCCGCGCGCTCACGGCTTTTCTGGACCTCCAGCTCGTCACTGAGTAAGAGGATGCTCTTGATTCTTTCACCTCCGGAACTCCGGGGTCTTACACAGAGAAGGAGGCCTTAGGCAGAAGCTGGCCGGGGACACCGGTCCTGTCGCTTCGGGGCTGACAGCAGGTTCAGGGGCAGCGAGCCTGGAGCCACGCCAGGGCCAGCCGCAGGGGCGTGCATCCTCCCCGGATCAGGGAGCGCGGCTGCTCTGCCAGTGTGTCCCCGGGGACCAGGGACACGGGCGGGCAGCTTTGGAGGCCGGGGTGAGGCCCGGGGTTGCACGGTGCTTCTCGGCATCACAGGAAGTGAGGGGGACGCTGTTCAAACACAGCTCGAGACCCAAAGAAGCTGCATATTTCTCCGCGCGTGTCATCCGTCCCCAGATGGGTGCCAACGGCTGCTGCTGCTCCCTGAAGCGGAGTTTCTGAGCGACTCCTAGATGTGGGGCTGCAGGGGGCTTCAGGGAGGAGGCGACCCACCCCTGTTCCTCCAGCAGGTATGATGACCGCCTTCCCATTTGGCCTGGTGGGGTGGCTGGGGGCCTGACTGCCTCCTGACTGTACAGAACTGCCCCCCACAGCCAGCAAAAGTTCCCACCCTCCTGGACACATTCAGGACACACAGAGAAATGAAGACACTGGCCGCGTCCCAGCACAGTGCGGTGCGGCGTGCGGTCAGGGCTGGGCCAGGCCAGCTGGGCCTCACAGCCCGGGCCCACAGGCTTCATACAGAAGTGGTAGCGGGTGGCGGCCGCTGGGTATTTGGCCCCGCCGAATCTCTGAATGCAATCCATGACAGCGGGTTCACTGGAGGAGGAGAAGGCCACGGAGGCCGAGGTGACAGCAATTTCAGGCACTGCGGGAGCCGATTAGCTTCCCACAGAAGGACGGCTTCCCGCTGGGCCCCTGCCCCTGGCTGTCTTGGAGACTCCGAGTGCCGGTCACAGACGGACAGCAGCGCTGAGCAGTGAGGCGGAGACGTGTGTGCCTGGGAGGGACAGGCGGGGAGGCCGACCCGGGGCAGCGCTTCCCACCAATGCTCGGTTTTATTTTGCACTTGTTTCATGACAAGACAACACAGGGTGATGTTTCCTTGTTACCTGTTCCCCCCCCAGCCCCCCAATCAAGAAGGCACTGTTTTTTTTCTTCTCCCGTGGGAAGGCACACATCTACTCCTGTCATCTACTCTGCTCCACCTGCCCGAAACAGACACAGCCGCAAGCTGCCCCCCACCCTGCTTCTTCTACGCTGTGAACCCTGGAACTCTTGCAAACCCAGCACCCAGGGGCCCTGGGCCAGCCAGACGGAGCTTCCGAGCCCACGGGGGTGTCAAATGATGGGCAGCCATGCCTGGAGGTCTGCACGGTCGAGCCCCAGCCGAGCCCAGCCTGGCTTCCTGCCTTTCTCGGATCGTGAGCCCATCCCCATACAGCCTCCTTACTCTGCCTTTGCAAGTGGCCTTTTCTGTCCCCTTCCACTTTGGGTGACTCTCCTCCCCCTCCTCCAAGTCCCTTGTGGGTGCTGCCCATGAGCACAGGGTGCACAGGGACCGAGGGGCCGCTCGGTCACGCTGGAGAGAGGCGCTTCCCATGGACGTCCCGGTCCTGGCCACCCCGCTGCTCCGGCAGGGGGGTGCAGCCCGCAGTGTCCTCCTCCTGGCTCCCTCAGCTCCAGGGCCCTGCAGAGAAGCAGCTGAGATCCCTGCGATGCCTCCTGGCCCTGGGCATCACCACTTTCCGAGAGGGAAAAGCAGAATGATTTGAATATTTGGGATTCCAGACCTGGTGCTGTACCAGGTAGCAGGAGCTCTCCTATCTCCAGACAGGATGTGGGGTGAGAGTGGCTGACCCGAGGGTGAAGATTAGCTGACCGGAGACTCCTGGGCCGTCCATCCAAACCGCCTTCCCCGCGTCCTCAGAGCTGGGGCTGCGGAACCATCTCTAGCCTGGCTGTGGGCTCCAGGTCAGGTGGGGGGGGGTCCCAGGCTGGGCTCGGGAACTGAACTGGTGGCCAACACCTTGGACTCCCTGGCTAGGGAAGAAAGAGCCCGGTGAAGGAGGCTGGGGAGGGTGGTGGTGGGGGTTGTCCCAGGTCCACAGGAACAGCTGAAAGTGACACAAGAAGCCCATAGCATCTGCTCACTGTGTTTCCTTGATTCCTTAGTGACCACCCACTGGGCATGAGCTTGCAATACCTCTGAGGTCCACTGATGACTTGTACAGCCAAGAGAGTGACAGGGACGCTTGCACCGGCCCTGGCACGCGGGGAGCCCCGGCTGAGGGCTGGGGGTGTGTGTCTGCGCCCTCCCCAGCAGAGTCAAGGCAAGGCGGGGCTTTCCTTTGCAGCCGGGACACAGCCCCCTGAAACGCCATTAGGAGGAAGACACTAGCGTCTGTCAAGACCTTAGTGTTTTTCGAAGCGCGGTGTTTGGAATTCTAGCCCCGAGCCATGTCCTGTTAGAGGAAGGATTCACGGGTCAGAGAACCTGGCAAAGCCACAGCATCCGGCCCCTCCCGGGAAAACTCGGTGCTCATGGGAAAAGTGAGGCAGCGCCTCCCGTGCTGCCTTCTGGGACCCCAGGAAGTCACTCCCAGTGTTTGCTGTTCATTCGCCGAACATCTGGGACACTGAGCTCCAGCCCGGTGCCGTGGCACAGCGGCAGTGGCAGGCTCTGCGGGTGTGGCTCCAGGCTGAGGGCAGACTTGGTGGGGTGGGGCTGTGACAGCTGGTGCTTACCAGGACTGTCCTACACACTTGACAGAGGGTATTTTTAGGTCTTTGTGGGTCATCATTGAGCCACCTCCAGGGCCAGTGCCGAGTCAGGGGGCTGGGAGTTGTCCCTGTGGATGCAAAGCTGGCACCCCGTCCCTGGACACTGTGTATGTGTCCGGGAGACACCTGGGCCAGGCCACCACGGATGGCCCTGGGCAGATCCCAGGCACCCACTCTGGGTTGCTTACTATGCACACGCGGGCCAAGCCCTGCTGGTCTGTGTTGCACCCCCATTGAAATCTCAGGTGCTAAAAGGTTGCTCCTTCAGCACAGTGAATACATGTGATATAAATATCTCTGTGCTTGCAACGAGCGGGGCTCCATCCCATCATGCAAGGTGACAGCGAGAAAGCTCCGCTGACATCTCAAGCCAGGAAGGCTGATGGTGGCAGCTCAGGTGACCTCTAAGGCTAAAAATGCAGCGCCCCCTGCAGGGGCCCTGTCTTCCCTAGAGGGGCCGGCAGACACTCCCCACCCGCTGTGTGTCCCAGGGACGCCCTCGCTAGGGTCACAGAGCCCACTGGTGGCGACAGAGCGGTGGCCCAGCGTGGTTCAGCTCTGCCGTGTGCCTTGATGTCCTCCGCTGCAGCTGTGCCGCCGACGCTGTGGAGCCACGGCAAAAACGGTCCAGGTCGCTCTGTGGGCTGTGCGCAGAAAAGCATTGAAACAGCAAGCCGGAGGGGGGCCAGAAGCAGCTCTGAAGGCCAGCCTGGGGCGGGCGGCAGGCCTGGCCAGCAGCCACTGGGCTTCGGCTGTGCAGGACGCCGGCATCAGAGAAGGTGGAGACCAGAAGCTCATTCTGTGAGGGCAGAGCAGGTGAAGCTGCTGCCTGGAGTCCCGACTGCCCACTTCCCATCCAGCTCCCTGCTGACGCGCCTCGAAAAGCAGCGGCAGACGGCCCAAGGCCTGGGAACCCTGCCACCCACGTGGGGGACCCAGATGAAGCTCCTGGCTTCGCCTGGCCCAGCCGCTGGCAGTTGAGGCCATTTGGGGAGTGAACCAGCTGATGGAAGATCTCTGTAACTCTGCCTCAAAGAAAAAAAACAATTCTTTGTATTATGTCTGTAACTTTAAAGTCTAAAATCAGTGTAAAAAAAAAAAGAAACAAAAAACCTCACAGCACGTGCCAAGCCCCGTGCAGGCGAGCTCGCCTGGCCCTGTGAGCCCCAGCTCCACAGAGTGCACTCCTACCCGGTCCGTACCCGCCCCCAGCAGGGTGGCTTCCATCGACCACGCACCCCGACCTCCGCATCCCTCTCCCAGCCTCAGGGACCCCTGCCCACTTATCCTCACCTCCCAACGCAAGTCGTATCCCGCACGCATGGAACCCATCAGTGCTGTAGAAACGCGTTCTGTAAGTTTCGCTTTTTCTAACAGTGTGGTCCAAGGCATGTCACCTAAGTGGTTTCATTCAGCGGCACGCGCCTCCTGGGGGCTCACCGACCCTGGGGGCGCGCAATGATTCTCCCAGGTTGAGCCGCTCCAAATGCCAGCCTGGAGACGAGGCCGCAGCGCCCTCTCCCGGGGTGCCGCCTTCCCTCCGGCGAACCTTTCCCTTTCTTTCGCCCGGCCCCGGGCGAGGCTAGGCGTGGGTCCCACCTATGCACCTGCCTGGCACGCACTCGGAACGCCTCTCATCACCAGGTCGGCCTGGTGCGGCGAGGATGGGGGCGTCTTCTTGTCGTCCCCGCCAGGGGGCGCAAGCGGGGCCCGGGGGCGGGGCTCGGGGCGGGGCCGGGCGCCCTCGGATCGCGAACCCGAGCCCGAGCCGCCCGCAGCCCGACGCTGACCGGGGCGCTGGGCTGCCGGCGGCGGGGACCACGCGCGGCGCGGAGGCGGCCCCGGACGCGGACGCCAGGTGAGCCGACGGCGTGCCCCGGCCTGCGCTCTGCGCCCCCTCGCTGCGCGGGGCGGGGGAGGGGGGTGTGTCCGGGCGCCCCTTCTCCCTCCTGCCGGTCCCCGGAGTCTGGCTGCGTCCCGGCTCCGGCCCTCGCCCCTGCAACCCCGGACTCGGACGAAGCCCCCGGCTGGGGGTGGCGGTGCCTTGTGCCGTCCCGGGGCCTAAGAGGAACGGCGGAGCGCGCCCCCCAGCTCCTGCGCCCTCGCCTGGCGTGCCCGCGCCCTGGCCCCTGCGCCGGAGCCTCGCCTTCACTCCGCCTGGGGACTTGGGCGACTTTGTTCCGGACCCTCCGGGCACTGTCCCCCGACCGGTGGTCTTAGGGCCTATCGCGCGCGTGTGTGCGGCCGCCGAGCCGCTGCGCGCGGCGGCCCCGGAGCCCGAGCGCGGGACGAGCGCCTCCCCGGCTCGGACCTGCGTGCGGCTGCTTGGCGCGCTTTGCCGAACGGCTTTGGCACAGCTCGCTCACCTTGGCGCTTTACAGATGTGCGAGTGAAGTTTATATATATATATTTGGAATAACATCAGCGCTGACTTGGGAAAGGCAAGTCCGCGCGCTCTTGGGCCTGCCTAGCCTCAGTCTGTTGGGTCTCGTGGTTTTTAATTTTTATTTTTTTTATTTTTTATTTAAGTCCGTGCGCTCCTTCCAGGGCCGCTGTTCCAGCGGTGCTCGCCTCCGCCTCGCCCCTGGCGGGCAGAGGAACTGAAGCCTCGGGCCCCGCTGGATGCCCGCTGGGATGCCCAGCGCGTGCAGTGGCCGCCGGAGCGAGGTCCTGGCTTCCAAGCGGATGCGGCCGGGCACCGCGATCCTCCGTGGTGGCGGGTCCTGCGCATCTGCGCTGCAGAGAGGGTCCTTGCGGGGGGTGGGGGTGGGGTGCCCTACCCAGTGAGGCAAACATTTAAAAAATGTGATTTAAAATGCAGCACGACTCAGTTCCTATAGATTTTTGTTGGCACCGAAGTTAAATTCCTTTGGAAAACAACAGGAACAAAAAAATCCTAGCCCCAAAATTAATGCGAAGGAGCAGATGGGAGGCGGGGGACGGTCGCCGGGAGCCTCTGCAGGGCTGGGCCGTGGAGTCTGGGTGATGGCAGGACCCCCGGGTGGCCGCACCTGCTGCACAGTGCCTCCTGCCCGCTGAGGAGATGTCCTGGCTGGCAGCCGAGTGTGGGGTTGGGGTGAAGGTCAGGGCTGCAGATTCTGACTTGGAAGCGTGTGTGGCTGGCTGTTGCCACCTGGCTCCCTGTCCCCTACACGTCTCTCTCCAGCCCATTCCAGTGCCCCAGCAGCCCCGTCCCGGGCCCCCACGTTTATAGCTCATTCATCACAAAGTCCTTTCCACATTCTTCTGTGATGTCTCCGGGAATTATTTCCCTGTCTCTGCTCCCTCTGCCCCCCCGCCCCCCTTAAGCCCTGTCCAGATTACAGTAATCATCTCTCCTCCCCGACTCCTGGCCAGGAGTGGCTGGCTTGATTTTAATCCATCATCGTTCATGCTGACAGATTAATATTCCTCAGGTTCTGATTTCACCGCATCATTCCTCTCCAGAAGTCACAACGGCGCCCCGGTATTCACTTCCATTTAACTTCTCTAGAACGTGTTCTGGGAGCGGGACTCCGAGTGCCAGGGACTGGCGCTGCGTGCCGGGGCTTCCACCGTGATGGGTGCAGGGTGTGTGCGCGCGCACAGCACACCCAGGACACGGACGAGGGAGAAGTTCATTCTGTGTGGGGGGAGCCAGGACAGAGCTGGGCTTGGGTGCCCCAGGAGGGGTTCAAGGACATGGGTGGGCTTGGGGACTGGGGTTGGGGGGGGGACGCTGACACCAGGCAGAGGGTGGAGAAGGTGCGGGAGGGAGGTGCCTGCGCCAGGACCCGCCTTTCTCTGGGCATCGGGACCGTTTGGTAATGCTGGTTGCTTTGCTGGTTGTTCCTTGCCTGGCACCGTCGTCTGCCCACTCAGCCACCTTGTCCTGGAGTGGGCTGCCCCCTGCTCTCCCTCCCTGTCCGCCGCTCCGCTGCGTGCTGTACACCCGTGTATCCTCCTGGCTCAGCCTGCAGGCGCCCCAGTGGACAAGCCTCCACCCTGGAGTCCTGGCCGCCAAGCCTCGCAGACTCCCCCTGGGCCTCTCCCCTGCCCAGGCAGCGGAGACTTGGAACCAGGTGACCGTCTCCCTCCTCACCTCCCCCACCCTTCCTCTTGCTTTCTGTGATGCAGGATTGCCGTGTTTCACTACCGGGGGGCCGAGGCGCAGAGAGAAAGGGTGCCTGTGTTGAGAGAGCGTGCGCTCTGAGAATGATGACTCAGACTTTTCTGCTGGGAGCTGGCGCGTGCATGACCCAGCGTAGGTTTGGGACAGACCCCGGCTGCCGGATGCTTCCCCACGTACATCTCCCCCACCCCGGGTCCCGTTCTCCCTCCTCCTGGCCTGCACAGCCCCTGTCCTGTGCTGGTGTCCCGGCCTCCCTCTGGCCTGGGCCAGTGAGCGCTGGTTGTGCAGTGGCAGGTGCCGCTGGCTGTGTGTTCCTTCACTCCCTGGTACCCCACACCCTGTGACAGAGACGTGGCTGCGCGCTGGGCTGACTCAGGCTATGCGCCAGGGTCTCAGGAGCCCGTGCAGGCCACGCACCTGCATTCACAGGAACCTCACAGGAGCCCTGCCTCACCCCAGCATCTGCACTTCCTCCACCAGAGCCCAACTCTGCCTTCCAGCAAGGAACTGGGCTCAGAAAATAACACCGACTTACGGACGGGCTTCTGAGACCCTGGCGCACAGCCTGAGTCAGCCCAGCGCGCAGCCACGTCTCTGTCACAGGGTGTGGGGTACCAGGGAGTGAAGGAACACACAGCCAGCGGCACCTGCCACTGCACAACCAGCGCTCACTGGCCCAGGCCAGAGGGAGGCCGGGACACCAGCACAGGACAGGGGCTGTGCAGGCCAGGAGGAGGGAGAACGGGACCCGGGGTGGGGGAGATGTACGTGGGGAAGCATCCGGCAGCCGGGGTCTGTCCCAAACCTACACTGGCCACCCTGCGTGGCCCCTTCCATCTTGGCCTTGGCTTTGACTCCAAGGAGTGAGTGGACCGAGCATGGGGGGCTGAGGCCAGGAGCAGAATCCTCCGTGGGTCAGGGGGTCTGAGAGCCCCTGCTCCTGACCCTGACTGCTCAGGGCCCCAGCCCCGCCTCGGCCTCGCTGTGCCTTCCTCAGGACTTGAACAGGTGCTTCGAGGGGAGGAGGGGGGTTCCAGGGCCCCAGGTGCCAGGAGTAAGAAATGTCCCCTCCTCAAATGAGGAGGAAGTCATAGGAGAGCCCAGCCCCCTCCCTGAGTGAGGCTGGGTTGGGGAAAGAAGCCCTTCAAAGAGCAGGCCGTGGGCCCCGCCCATCCCAGCCTCAGTTTCCTTCTGTCACTCAAAGCCTGGAGGGCTGGTGTGGGGACCAGTGCAGGAGTCAGCTGGGCACTGGGCCAAGCCTGGGAGGTAGGAGCCCAGTGTTACTTCCTGTCCATCTGTGCTCAGAGCTGTGTGGGTACCCAGTGTCACGTGTGTCCCATGTGTGCTCTGAGCCTGGTGGCTGTCACTCCCTGTCCCATCTGTGCTCTGAGCCTGTGGGTACCCGGTGTCACTCCTTGCCCCTTCAGTCCTGTGTGCCTGGTGGATACCCAGTGTCACTCCCTGTCCCATCTGTGCTCTGAGCTTGGTGGTTGTCACTCCCTGTCCCATGTGTACTGTGTGCCTGGTGAGTACCTGCTGTCACTTCCTGTCCCGTCTGTGCTCTGAGCTGGGTGAGTGCCCAGTGTCACTTCCTGTCCCATGTGTACTATGTGCCTGGTGGTGCCTGGTGTCACTTCCTGTCCCATCTGTGCTCTGAGTCTGGTGGGTGCCTGGTGTCACTTCCTGTCCCATGTGTGTGCTCTGAGACTGGTGGTACCCAGGGCCACTTCCTGTCTTATCAGTCCTGTGTGCCCAGTGGTGCCTGTTGTCACTTCCTGGCCCATCTGTGCTCTGAGCCTGGTGTCACTTCCTGTCCCGTCTGTACTGTGTACCTTGGTGGGTACCCGGTGTCACTTCCTGTCCCGTCTGTACTGTGTACCTGGTGGGTACCCGGTGTCACTTCCTGTCCCGTCTGTACTGTGTACCTGGTGGGTACCCGGTGTCACTTCCTGTCCCGCCTGTGCTGTGTACCTGGTGGGTACCCGGTGTCACTTCCTGTCCCGTCTGTACCGTGTACCTGGTGGGTGCTTGGTGTCACTTCCTGTCCCGTCTGTACCGTGTACCTGGTGGGTACCCGGTGTCACTTCCTGTCCCGCCTGTACTGTGTACCTGGTGGGTACCCGGTGTCACTTCCTGTCCCGTCTGTACCGTGTACCTGGTGGGTGCTTGGTGTCACTTCCTGTCCCGTCTGTACCGTGTACCTGGTGGGTACCCGGTGTCACTTCCTGTCCCGTCTGTACCGTGTACCTGGTGGGTACCCGGTGTCACTTCCTGTCCCATCTGTACCGTGTACCTGGTGGGTACCCGGTGTCACTTCCTGTCCCGTCTGTACCGTGTACCTGGTGGGTACCCGGTGTCACTTCCTGTCCCGTCTGTACTGTGTACCTGGTGGGTGTCCTGCAGGCAGCTCGTGCTCCAGGTCTGTGTTCTGGAAGTCTGTTTAGGATCACAGGCCCTGAGGGCCAGTGCGCAGTGTGTGTGTCAAGGGCTGAGTGATGCAACCTCATCTCCAAACCAGGACCCCCACCCCTCAGCTGTGCTGTGCCAGTAACAACGCATTCCCCACCCCAGGGTCCCCTTCTGTCTCCCCCCACATAGAGCTTGTAGGGCAGAGTGCAGCCGTCCCCTGTGTTCAAGTCGGCTGTCTTGAGAAGGTGGTCCCGTCTCTGCCTTTGCCCTGTGCGGGGTCTTCTAGCCCAGCGTCCGTCTCTTCCTGCCGCCTCTTGGCAGCGGATCACCCGTGCCTC